CCTCCTCCTCCTCCTCCTCCTCCTCCTCCCCCTCCTCCTCCTCCTCATTTTGGCTCAAGCGTTCGCATGGCCCCGCCGCCCGCCGCTCCCTCCTCGCGTCGGAGCCGCCGTGGGATGGCGTGGCCTAGAGGGGCTCGCGCGCTGCCCGCCGCCGCCGCCGCGCTGGTGGAGGCGGCCGTGCGCGGCGCTGTCCTGGGGGGCGCCCCACGCCGCACTGTCGCGGCGGTGGCAAGGTCGGCCGTCTCGGCCGCGCTGTTCGCTCAGCGCGCCGAGGAAGCCGTGCCGCCGCCTCGCGACGCTGCCGCTGGTGGCGATCCACCCCCTGCTCATCCTGATGTTACTCGCCCTGGCCCTGCTGGTGCAGCTGTCGCCGAGCCCGCGGCGCGTGCCGCGCGGCGGAGGCGGCGCCGCCAGCGCCGCGCGGCGAGGAAAGCGGCGGCGGGCGCTCCTGCTGCCGTCGTGGTGGAGACGACGGAGGTCGACGTGGCGGCCGCGGGTGCGGCGGCTGGCTCTGCTGGCACGGGCCTCGCGCTCGTCCAGGTGGCGGGGGCTGCTGGCGACGCGGACGCCGACGACGACTCCTTGGCCGACGACGCCTGGGCCGACGGCCTGCGGCGCTCGGCACCCGGCGCTGTCCCCTCGGGCGGCGCCGACGCGCGGGCTGGTGCTCCGGCGGCGCCTGCTGCGCCCTGCGAGCCTGTGTCTGCTGCTGCTGGTGCGGCGGCGGCTGCGGGCGGCGAGGCGTGGCGGCTCGCACCGTGGGAGGAGAGGCACCCGGGGGAGGAGGACGTTCGGGTCGTCGCGGCGCGGGTCCTCGCGCAGATCGGGCATCGCTCCTCCTGATGCTCGAGGAGTCGCTGGTGCGGTTCCTCGTGTTCCTGGTGCTCGAGAAGTCGCTCGTGCGGATCCTCGTGCTCGCGAGCGTGGAGCTTTTCCTCTCCCGCTCGTCGGCGTGGTACGCGTACTACGTCTACCTTGACTGCATCGTCGGCACGGTCGGGGGGTCCAGGTCTGGTCAGGTCCAGGCCTGGCCCCCCGCTGACCTCTGGTGTTGTCAGGGAGCGGCGCATGTCAAAAAAAAATCCTCCTCTCCTCCTCTCCTACCTCCTCCTTCCTCTCCTCCTCCTCCTCCCCTCATCATCTCCTTCCTCCTCCTCCTCCTCCTGTCCTCCTCAACTCTCCTCCTCCTCCTCCTCCTCCTCCTCCTCCTCCCTTCCTCATCCTCCTTTCCGCCTCCTCCTCCTCCTCCTCCTCCTCTCCTCCGCCTCCTTCCTCCTCCTCCTCCCGCCTCCTCCTCCTCGCCTCCTCATCCTCCTCCTCCTACCCTCCTCTCCTCCTCCTCCTCCTCCTAATCTCCTCCTCCCCTCCTCCTCCCCCCTTCCTCTCCCCCTCCCCCTTCCCTCTCCATCATCCTCTCCTCCGCCTCCTCCTCATCCTCCTCCTCCTCCTCATCCTCCTCCTCCTCCTCCTCCTCCTTCCTCCTCCTCCTCCTCCTCCTCCTCCTCCTCCTCCTCCTCCCCCTCCTGGCGCACAGGCACTCAAGAGTCCCTGAACGCTTCAAAATGCAGAAGAGGACAAGAAAGGGAAAAACAAACAAAAAAAACGCTGAGAAAAGACAGAGAGACCGAGATGAGCGAGCAGAGCTGCACCAGCAAAAGCAGAGCAATGGCAGGGGGCGGGAGAGGGGCGGGGCCTGCAAGCTTTACCCGTTGAAGAAGTTGGCTCCCGACCCTCTCCCCGCCTTCCCTGCTGGCGGCGGGCTGCGCGCCCCAGTCCGGGCGCGCCTCGACCCGCCTGCAAAAGAGAACCCCTTGGCCTCAGGTTTCAGGCGCGGGGGCGGGGGCGAAAAGTTTGGCCCACCATTCTCCCGATCCATCCTCTCCCCAGAGGCCAGGGCACTGAAATAGTGTGATGTTTGGGCCAGGGGAGCTTTCGCCGCTTGAACGCCGACGCCTGGGCCTATATAGTATTGCCACATCTCTTCTGCAGACCTGCGGGTTTACGTGTGGCATATCTGCCGTACCTCGCGCAAAAGACAACCGCAAGGCCTGTCTGGTCAACTCTGGTTACCAGCAGTTTGTGAGTGGACGGAACGGCTGCGAGGGCTCGCAAGGTGGGCGGCAGAGCGACGCGCCCCCCCCCCCCCCCCTCGGCCTGGAGGATCTGAAAGATCTAGCAAACTGAATGCACCGCCACGAATTGCCTGACCACTTCAGCGCATGGGGGCTGGGAACAGGCCACGCAGCCCCTGGCCCTCGAGCCCTAGGCGTTTTGGCCAGGACTCCGAAATGGACCTTGGGCCGAGGAAAAAGTGACAACATTCCGGCCATCGCTTGGGCCACATATTTGACCAACGCCAGGTTCGATTAAACAAGTAGGGCCTCTTTTAAACCGACTTGAATTGAACTGGCACCCTCCTTGGCAGCAACATCGGCCGCCCTATTGCCTTTGATATAAAACCTATCACCCGAGGCCTGGTCGGGGGCAAGACTAAGATGCGCTTTAACGCTGCAAATTACCCACGGCCCACTCACAGTTCGGATGCGCCCCCAGCGTTAAGCGGCCGCACCGCTGCCGCCGATCGCCTTCCGAAAGTTGCGTTGAACGGGGAGGAGCGAGGCGCATTCTGCAAACGGTAGCCGAGCAAGCTCATGACCTGGCTCCGAGTGATCCAACGCATGAAGCAGCGCGCGGTGCCCAGCCATGCGGGCTGTCTGTGGGCATGCCAAAGGTAGAGGTCCAATGATCGGTTTGACTACATCACCCCCATCATCAACAATCAGGACTGCCCACCCCCCTTCTGGCAAGACTCCTGCTGGATGGGTGGGACACTGACCCGTCGATGAAGACGTGGCCCTCCCCCACCTGGATTCTGAAGGGCTCAACGGGGTTCCCGTCGCCATCCAGATACTCGGGGCCTCGACACCCCCTCGCAGCGCCTGCTGCGGGGCCCCAAACCAAAGACGAGAGCACAGCGGATCATCTTCCCCCGTTTCAGCAGCTGCCTGGAGTAGCTCGGCGCCGATGCTCCCATCACGCTCTGCCGAACAACGCGGGCAACACCACACTCGATGGTAGTCGGTATCCTGGGCCTGGCAGCACGGGCAGACTGGATTCGCCGGCATGCCCACGTTTTGTTCCACGTGGATAACGATTAGAAAACACCGACCTCAAACATTGCTTTAAAAAGGGGGACCATTTCGTCCCGAAATACAGAGCCCGCAGAAGATCAGCCCAGACTCCTTGGTCACGTATTTTTTGCGCCATGGGATGGTTCGACCCTTGCAGCAGGCCCTGGATTGAGGTGCCCACGGGCTCTGTCTCGAGGTCGCCCACGAAATACTTCCTGATTTGGCAGGGCGACATTTCAGTGGAACTTACAGGCGACCCGTCACGAAGCATGAGCAGGCCTCCACTCTCAAAACTCCAGCGTGTTACACTCATCCAAGATTGGGTGTCACGTAGCGGCCCCGGTGCCGCCGCTGCCCAACTGGGCTCGGAGGCCGCCTGCACATCCTCTGCTGCCTGCCAAAAAGCTCGAGAATGAGTACCCACCGACAGACCGTCAGCTGGCGTAAGTGCGCGATCAGTCATCGCCCACCATTCCTGACAGCACACGTGCAGCGCGGCTGCTGCGTGCTTGATCGGGTCCTTGAGAGGAACCTCCAGGGCCCACGCCAAGTTGAGATTGGCCCCCTGCCCCAAGATCCCAAGCGCCTGCACCCCCTTCCCTCCTGAGCTCAATAATAAACTGCGGCGCGTGACCCGTGACCTCCTCGCCATAGACAACGGCAGGCAGCTGACCACAGAGGAAAGCGTTGGCCCGCTGCGCGCGTCGTTCAGGCTTGAGGCTCTGGATTATACGCCGACGTCGCGCTGCCTTGATCCATCTATTTGTCTGACTTCGAAGGGCTCCTGCACTGGCCTTGGGTCGCCTTTTAACCGTATAGTCTATGCCAAGGCGGGTAGTGACCTTCCCGATATAGCCCCATACCTGCCCAAGACAGCCAGCGATTTCCTCGAGAGCTCGCCCCCTGTGACCTGAAACATGCCCATGGCGAAACCCAACTGCAATCGCCCCCTGAAGAATTCAACCAGTCTCGGAACAGCGTAAACCAAAGCATCTAGAGCCCCTTCCGAAGTAAAATCATGTATAATGTGTAGCCCCATGTCATCTATATGCACGTTGACGGTGGCATCGTGGCGAGTCTTTGCGGCCTCTGAAAGCCCCTGAAGCATCATCCCCTTATGTCGCACGTGCCCGTGGAGGAAACTGCAACAATCTCTCGGCGCGGCCAGACCCAGGCAGACAGCACGAACAACAAACTTAGCACTCGTGGCCAAGCGTACGTGCGCAGTGCCATTGGGAGCGCAGCCCTGGGGCACGAGGAGACCAATGCTTCGTTGCAAAGAATATCTGGGCAAACATTTTCATAACAGTGCTGCAAATCCCCTAGCACGGCCAAGACATGCTCGCCCTCCCCGCCCGCCAAAAGAGAGAGAGAGAGAGAGAGAGAGAGAGAGAGAGAGAGAGAGAGAAAGAAAGAGAGAGAGAGGGGGGAAAAAAATACAAAAAAAAAAAAAAAAAAAAAAAAAAAAAAAAAAAAAAAAAAAAAAAAAAAAACGCCTGCCGCCAGACCGCGTCTCCCGTGGACCTGAACGGCCCCATGTCAAAATGCTTGGCTGCGGCCGCATGCCAGTTCTCCCACTCCACGCATTGCATCGCCTGGGTATTTGAGAATAGCCTTCCAAAGCTGTGGTAAAAGCCAATTGGACAGAAACCCTTACTCTTGCCGAACAGAGCTATGACCGGGCGCTGCAACGTGCTGGGGCACGCACCTACGATCAGCACCATCGTGAAAATCATCGAGAGCAGGGACAGGCTGCGCCCGCATAACATAGAATAGTGTCTCGGATGAAATCCACCCATGACCGTCGTGCGCACCATGAAAACCCTGCTCGGGGATGCCAGAACACCTGCCTCGGGAGCGCCCTTGATAAACTCCTGGGGCCCCAAAAGCCCTGACGAGCCTGCAACGGGACGGCCTTTAAGGGCCCCCTTCCAGGCCCCGATCCAATGTTCGCGTTGTCGGTGCAGAACCCAGGGAAGCGAGGAAGTGGGAAGGCCCGCCCCATCCAGCACGGGCACCGCGGCCTCGACGTCCACGACGACTACGAACTGGCGGGCTCACGAGGCCCCCCCCCCTCCAACGCCGCAATGCAGCGGGCCCCCCATTTACCCCTACTGACCTCCTGCTCCGTCCGAAGATGCTTCTGCAAAAGAACGAAGGCCCGGTTTGCCATCTGTCTGAGGCCCTGCTCTCCCTGGTACCAAAAAAAATCTGCATGCAATATCAGCCCGGCCGCGGCACCAGACAGGACACTGCCCCAGCGGCATTCCTCCTCCGGGGCGCAACGCCCGAACAGTCGACAAACGCATCTTGCGCGCAGTCAGGGCACGCGCCGCGCAGTGCTGCGAGCTCAACAAGCCGATTGCCTGCCCAGCGGAACGCTCGCGCTGGGGACGTTGCAAAATTGGACTTCGCGACAACGAACGTCGACAGCGGCGCAATAGCGGCCTTGCATTCCTGGCCACCACGGCGCCCCGGAGCATCCTCAACACCATGCAAGGCACACAGTTCGGCCCAAGCATCTGCGACCCACAGCTGGTAGACCTGGTCCAGGCACCGCTGTCCTAAGGAGGTCTTCTGCTCGGACTGACGCGTCGCGTGCCCCCATGTCCCCCACCCCGCTCTTTGCCGGGAATTCTCGAGCCAGATCGCCCACCCCTCATACAAAGGCGGCTGGGGCTCAGGTCTGGGAGGCGGGGTGCAGGGATGCTTCTGATACTCGTCAAGCTTTGACACCCGCACACCCTGCGCCAAGAGAGATCGCTGCATAGACAGGTCTGCGCAGGAAGCTCGCGCACAGCAGTTCAGCGCACGTCCTCCTTACCAACGGATGAAGACGATTGCTGACCAGGAAGAAACAAATACACGTGCCAGGCTGAACAATCAGGCAGGCAGGCGCGTCGGAATGCACCCCTCGCCCTCCAAATTTCTGCGGCGCGAC